AACCCTCAAATGTGACTGTGAGAGTGTCCGTGATGTGTTGCCTATCTGTGCCGAAGGGAAGATAACACCAACACCAACTCCTTCACTGGAGAAGTATTATCCTCATCAACCATCGTTCAACCTTGCCTATCTGGTTACTCTTACAGATCTCACTATTAGAAGGATGGCAGAGTTGTGCTGTTCGCGACTGATGAAGATAAGGTGTGGTACAGGGTCACCCTAAAGAAAACCGCCGTACAAGACCCTCGGACCTTGGGTTCTTTAACCCGAAAGTTAACTCTTCTACCAAACTCCAATAGCCTGAAACCGCCTGGTGTTGGCATAGCCCTAAAAGGATCCCATTTGGTAACGAGGAAGGTGACCTTGACCAAATTTCTTGGAGTATCTTCTGACTCGCTAGACAGGAGAATGGTATGGAACAAACCTTTTGTCTGCACCTGTAAGCTGAAGACCACAGTATCTCTTCAAGATGTCTCAACGGTTACCGTAGAGATGGAAGCCGCCAGACAACCTGTATTGCTAGATACTCCACCAAGTTCTCCCCTAAATAATCCGATCAAGAGAAGCCTCAGTCCGGCACCAGTTCCTGCTCAGAAGCGACCATGTCCAGAAAGAACACCAGCACAGGAAGCAGCAGACCTTCCCAGTCGTGGACGCATGCCACTATTGCCACCAGCCAGACGTGATTAGGAAGACAGTCGGGTTCCAGTCGCAATTGGACGAAAGACCGTGGTATGGCCCCACATAGACTTGCAGAAGATGGAGCTGGAATATGCCGCCATGACTTTGGAAAAAGGATTTCAGTCTAGGACACCAGTAATATCCTGCCACTACCTCCTAGTCAACATGATGACACTACTGGCATGGGTACCCCTAAAAAATCTCCAGGAAAGGGCGTCCAGCACAATGCCTGTAAATATGAGTATGAGTATCCGAGCCTTGGATACGGATGCAGCTCGAAGCTCCTGAGGTATATAATGGTAACTAGCAACATGGGTAGTATGGTATTGGTATGATTTGGTATGTCTATAGCATGAATCTGGTTGGTATTGGTGTGGCGATGGAAGAATTGGTATCTCTGTAGTATGTATCCGATTGGTATGATGATGGGAAGACTGGTCCTGCCCTGCCACAGTATGATGATGGGAAGACTGGTCCTGCCCTGCCACAGTTGACGTTACAGATCCCGAGTATCTGATGTTTTAGGTGGGGGTCCCATACGAACGACTAGACGCCGTTCCTTGCCAGACTCTTTCCGACCTGCACAGCTGACAGCTGGAAAATCCCGAGGAACTATCTAGGTCAACACCAGGATCGAATCCGGGACGCCATGGTTTGCGAACCAGTGCCTTACTCACTGAGCCACTGCGGATCCCGGTGTCCTACTCATATTAGCCCTTTGGCATTGTATCGGGAACTGTACTTTTCAGTTTTCCAAAATCACAACCCATCTGAAAATTCTTGTTACTACAAAATTAAATAATTGTCATATGAAATATATCAGACACATGAAATTATTATATTATTCCATTTTTATAAAATTTCGAAAGCTCAAAACTAATTATTTTAACATTGTTTTTGTTAAACTTGTATTTAAACTTTCGTTGATCAAAAAACACGTACCCGAAGAATTGGTCAACTTTCTAGAATCAAAAACATGTATATAACATTTTTCGATTATATTTTAGAATAAATAAATATATTCACTTGAAAATGTTCATGAATCAAAACGTACACATACCGGTATTTTCACCAAATTGATACCCGATGTTAGTAAGAAAAATTTTATCGGTTAACTCCTTTACTAATTTTCCGCATTTTTTCGTTATACAAGGTTTCAAGCGGAGACCCACGATATTCTATTTATGTTGTCTATTCTTTAACTATTATAGCGAGAACTGTCAACTCTTTATCTAACCTCCCATAATGCTTCTGTAATGTGATCATATATGTGACCCTCCACTACAAAGCCAGTCACATGTCTCAATTTTCAAAAACTGTGATTTAATGCTTATCTTTAAAAGGGACTGAAATTGCTTTCTGTTGATGTATAAAATATGCAAATCACAAAAAAATTGGCTGAGTGATGGCCATCTTAAAGTAGCTAAGTCTCTAACTCAATATCATCCAGAATCTTCGACATTGAAAACACGATTTATTTGCCGGTTTAAATCAACATTGATGTTGTGATCTTACCGGGAAAAGATGGCCTTCTGATATCCAATATTTAAGACAAAATAAACATTTTACAATAGTTACACGAATCGTGTACCATAATGCTTTCAGCGCCTTTGTAATAAGGAACGCGAAAAACGAGGCTAGGCATGTCTTATCTGGAGAGCACGCCCAATAAATACTATCGGCGTAGACTGGAATAACCAGACGCTAGAGATTGAAATTCGATTGAGAATACTGGCGTATTTCGCTGAACCTAACTGATTAAAGATACGCCCGCAACAGCTAAATCGTCCGGGCAGCCAACAAGAGTTGTTGCATATCTTTACTTTTTTCTGTAATGAAACATTTATAATACACTAAAATCTGATTAAGAGCATCAACTCATGAAATAATTATCAGAAAACCATTAGAATTTGTTTTTATAAAGTTCTGTCCCATGCTAACGTTTTGTATACAAAACTTTTAATATCATGGATTTAGCTGTTTAAGACATAAAAATTCATTGAAAATCAATATACTTGTTCGTCTCAAGATCTTAAACTCTGTGTATCAATCTGAAGTCAATCGGATGATAACTTTAGCCTTTAGAGTATCACAAAGTGATCAAGGGCCATAACTTTGGCAGTAATTATCGGAAATCGCTGAAAATCAATAGGACCTTAAACACTGTGTATAAATTTAAAGTCAATCGGATATTAACTTTGGCCTTTAGAGCATCCACAAGATTTTTTGAAGTAATCAAGGGCCATAACTCTGGCAGTAATTATCGGAAATCGCTGAAAATCAATAGGCTTCTTCCTCTCATGACCTTAAACACTGTGTATAAATTTTAGGTCAATCGGATATTAACTTTGGCCTCTAGAGCGTTCACAAGATTTTTCAAAGTGATAAAGGGCCATAACTCTGGCAATAATTATCGGAAATCGCTGAAGTGATAAAGGGCCATAACTCTGGCAATAATTATCGGAAATCGCTGAAAATCAATAGGCTTCTTCGTCTCAAGACCTTAAACACTGTGTATAAAGTCAATCAGATATTAACTTTGGCCTCTAGAGCGTCCACAAGCAATTGTGGACGCCGGACGGACGGACGTTGGCGACGACAATATACGACCACATTTCAATGTGGGCGTATAAAATTAAAGTAAAAACAGAAACGATTGAATGTAAATCAATTTATATACATTCATATTACATTATTGTATGCGTTGGGACCCATTTGTGTCAATTTCTAAGTCCCAAATATTAGCGACTTAGCTCCTTTAAGTTTCCATAGCTGTGGTGCTGCCAAATATGAAATAATGAGAAATTTGCCTTTTAAAATAAATCCCATTGCAACACATATAACTATTGCGTACATCAAAATGAAATTTTGTGCATATAATAATGTGTGGTGTACCAACATTTGTATAAAATGTCATCAACATATTCCTTTATTAACATATTTTGGGGGTTTTTTTTCTGATATTTACCTGAAATCCATATTTCTTCACATTGGCTGTATTATGGCCATGGCTACAAAGGCCTGGTTCCACATTTTAAAGTGATAATATTTCTTGGGTCACCCAAATAAAACTATTTTTGCCCATTACCATGGTAACCATTTTATAAATAATTGGTATTATATCACATTCGAATAGGAAAACCTAAACCAAACCCTCTTATTAGTGTAGAAATATTAGCACATGGCTGAATTTCATATAATCTTATATGGTGATGTTGGAATGAACAATTCATTTTTTTTTTTTTAAGATTCTAAAAACTTTGGAATCACATGTTTTATTTTGGTTGTGTTTATGAAAACCATGTCGGCGGTGGGGAGTCAAAAGGTCGTATCTGGATTTTGCGAAATTGTCCAGGAGAGCCAAAACTAGCCCAGAGGTTAAGAATCAAAATGTCTTATAAAAACCGTCACGTCAAAATGTTGTATGTAGAATGTCTATTTCTGAAGTTTTTCTCAAATATTTATTTATAAAATGTATGTGTAGCCATTTACAGTATGTAACGATCCGCACATATCAAGCTCAACATCTAGTGCAGAAATAAGGAGTGAAAGCTAGTTATTTGCAATTTTATACAACAAAGACGTATCTCAGGAAAATATTCAGCTTTAGCTGCTTCAATTTCATAGATTTCACACAGTAGAGGCTCAACAATAATTTCAGTAATACCTATTTACCGTAAAACAATACTGACTATATTTCGTTTGACTCTAATGCTTTGGTTAGACACAAACTTGCATGATTTTTTTCAAGAAAATACGACGTTTTCACTCTTAATAATTTTTTTTTTTTTTGGAACACCCCATATACGACATTTTGAAACAATGTCTATAAAATCTCTTTTTTATTTGCTTAGAAATACGACTACCAGATAAAAAGATGCGCACAAAAATTCTCGTTTTGAAGAAGCAGAAAAGTGAATTACGCAAAATATGCCAGATACAACCTTTTGACTCCCCAACCGACGATGTCCCCTATTAACAAAAGTTTGATACTTTAAAATATGAATTTATTAGTTTTACATATCAAGACACATTAGCTTAATCAGTGTTTGTCTTTTTCAATTTTGGGTGAAGCCTATGTCATTTCTTGCCCTGACTATACAGCGCAGTAGACGCTTACGGCTGGCCCCGGGAGCCATTCACTTGATCATTCACTTGATTTGATATTTGTTTATGACTGGCAATGTCTGCCTTATTGGTTTTGTTTGGATGTAGTGTGGTCGTCCTGTGCTTACTATTTAAGTGAACTGCGTTATCACAGTTTTAAAGTTTAAAAAACAAATCTCTGTTGCAAATGTCAGATTCATTTCAAACTTAACTAGGCTGTTGGTGTCTCGGCAAATCTGTAAGCAATATGTCCCCTGACTCTGATGTAGGCAAACTTTATGATCCATGTCATTTCATAATGAAATATTCTCCAAAATAATCAACACCTGATCTAAAATATATAAATAAATAAGCACATATTAATCTACTATTTTAATAATCTTAAAAAAGTAAGTGAAAAATATTAAAAGAACTAATAGTAATTTCTTTTCGGTGATAAGTGGCGAATCTAAAAACGCAGTGGATATTCAGATGTCAAACTGCGCTTTGTCAGACACCTGATCCGTACATACGTCCACCTCTTCGACCCTAAATGCATATATGTTGTATTACTATTCGCCTGACACTGGGTGTGCATATCAAATTTTTATTCATTCGACACCGCAGCCTCATATTAATATAGTTTACGACAGTTACTCATGCAGTTACCTAATAACTTTAAAAATTGTCATTTGAGACTCAACCTTAACTGAAGTAAGGCCTATGCAGGTGTCTGGAATATGTCTGCTATAAATGCCATATCAATATCACACTGTCACTAGTGTAGGCCTACCACTGTAATTATTAACTAAATATTATCAAAACAAAGAGAGAGAGAGATGGAGTTTAATGTCCACTCGACACAAACTAGGTCATTTTGGAACTATAGTTTAATTTTATTTCAATAATTCCCTTGCGAGTATGGTTCTTTAGCAGTGGGAGGAAACCAGAGGACCTGGAGAAAACCCACGAGGTTGGACAGGCGACCCTACTCCTTGTCACGTACAACCGGGGATTCGAAACCACGCCAGTTGACTCAGTGACAGGCCTTATGATACAGCGCGCACATGCTAACCATTCGACCATCCAACCCCCCAAAAACAAAGAGAAGAAGTAAGAAAAGAGTCATGAACAAGTACCTAACCAAGAAAAGAAATTAAGTTAACGCACCCGAATTCCGAAACTTTTCCTATAACTTTTGTCATTCTTCGGTGTAAAAATCTAATAATATAGGGCTAAATAATTATCAAAAAATAAAAACTTCATTCCATTGTTCGACATCATGAGCAAATCAAAGTTGCTTTTGGTCAGGGGCGGATTGGGGCCGGGAACCGTCCCAGGCTCCCGTGTCGGAGCAGCCCATTTTACTGACAGCGGAGCCCGGATGGGGTGTTTGGCTCTCCCCCATGAATACTTTGAAAAATGAAACCCAATGAAATATGCAATTTGGTGGCATATCTGATTATAATCTCTGTTAAATAAGATATCTCATAAATCGATTAATTTAGGCCAAAACCCCAACCTGCAAGTAATTTACAACCATCAACCTGTGAAATTATCATATCATCTTATTATGCAGGATTCCGAATTATACCAGCCCATTCCAGACTCCAGTGATGGCGTGGCGGCCCGTTAAAGCCACCGGCCACATACAACAATGATCATCATCTCTCCATGGCCAGTCCAATACCACCACCACCCCAATATAATGTTCAGCAGAAAAAAAGGTTTTTGTAGACGAATTGGCCAAAAAAAATTTTTCATTTTTTGTCCGCCCGGCCCAATCCGCCCCTGCTTTTGGTTGGGCTAATTAGCCCTACCCTGCCATTCATAAGAATCACTATTTCCATTACTACTTCAGAATATCGTATTTCAAACAATCCCGGCAGATATTCAGAGATTAAATAGGTTACATGTTGACATTTCTTCGATAGCGTGACGTCTATAGGAAATCGTACAACAGAGTTACTTACGCATGCGCAAGGCCCGGCCCACCAAGCATCAAGTGAATTTGTATATTTTCCACAGGTTAATCAAGATTGCTTTGATTGGTGCAAAAAGTCTCTGACCTCAAATATGATACTATATTTAGAAAGAGGATTCCCCATCCTACATTTGCATAGCAAACATGGCTGAGGTAATTTGGCAAGTGAGGAAAATACGAGCGTGCAAAGTAAGCTCATTTTATGCAACTAGCAATAGAATTACGCCATTCGCGGTTCTTTTTTTTTTTTACAGCCTCCACAAAATACCTTTTTTTAAGCATTTTCGTCCCCCGCCTCTCGCAGAGAACAGGGGACTATTAAAATGGGTTCGTCTGTCTGTCCATCTGTCACACTTTTTGGGACACAATAACTCTCCTTCTAATTGAGCTACAATGTTCAAACTTGGTGTAGGTGTTTATTAGGCCAATGCTTTGATGGAGTTGGAAGATGAGCATTTTCGGCTTAGGGTAAGCAGAGATAAGCAATTTGATTGGTTGATGCTTTGGGACACGATAACTTTAGTTCTAATTAAGTGAGAGTGATGAAACTTGGTGTATAGTTTCATTACATCAATACCTTGACTAAGTTCGATAATGAGCATTTTCTGCTCAAGGTAAGCAGAGCAATAAGCAATTTGATTGGTCGAGACTTTGGAACACAATAACTCTCCTTCTAATTGAGGTAGAATGTCCAAACTTGGTGTAAACGTTCATTAGGTCAATGCCTTGATGGAGTTCGAAGATGAGCATTTTCTGATTATTGTATAAGCAGAGATAAGCAATCTGATTGGTTGATTCTTTGGGGCACGATAACTTTGGTTATAATGAAGTGAGAGCAATGAAACTCTTAATATAGATTCATTATATCATTACCTTGACTAAGTTCGATGGTGAGAATTTTCTGCTTAGGCTAATTGAGGTAGAATGATTAAACTTGATGTAGATGTTCATTAGGCGAATGTCTTGACTGAGTTCGATGATTAACATTTCGAGCTAAAGCTAAGCAATTTCATTGGTCGATGCTTTGGGACAAGATAACCTTAATTCTATCTGATAGAGAGTGATGAAACTTAGTGTATAGTTTGATTTCTTGATACTTTTGAAAAAAAAATAAATGTGCGATTAATATATGTGTCATGTATTTATTTTGGGATTTCGGCGGGGACATCAGCCTCACTATTGGCTTGTTTATTATATTTTCACAAAAAAGATCGAATTAATAAGAAAAAAACAATGCTTTTTGAACCGTTTAGTGCTAAAAAATTTCTTTCGGTAGTTTTGACCCATATAGTGTATTTTGCTGTGTATATAGAAATACAGCCGTCAGACATCCAACTGGTTTTGTGCTGGAGGGTCACATATATTGTCCTGATCCACCAAATTTTGAACTTCACTATAAGGATGAACCCAACAGCACATTTCTGAAGATTGCCATGGGAAGCCTGTAAATTTTTTGGCAAGTAAACTGATCCGTGAATTTCTAAAACTTGTATCTTTGAATTGTTTACAGAGTTATTAACCTTGCTAATTGCATCAGCGAAGAAAGTTTTTGAAAATTTGTTTGATATACCGGTAATTTTTTCTTTATAGTTGCTAATTACTGATGTTTTGTTCATTTTCCTCCCCAAGATTTAATATTTGTGGTTAATACTTTTGACTGTATTCGATAAAGTTATGTATTTTATATTGAATCTTTTAATTGTTTTATTTGTCATGTTTATTATTTCAGATAACAACTAATGAGGATAGATTACATGGTGTATTAGGTGATTTAACAAAACGTCGTAGTCACATACGAAATGTTGAAGCTACAGACAATGATAAAATAATAGAGGCTGTAACACCTCTAGCAGAATTAATGGGATATTGTACAACATTAAGAACTATAACTTCAGGAACTGCCACATTTTCTATGGAATTTTCACACTATGAAAAAATGACATTACACGACCAGAATCTTGTTGTTAAAAAATTAACTGGGTTTATGCCCTTAAAATTATAACAGAATATACTATATAATAAATTTTTTGGGGGTATGAAACTGAAATTATGAATTCATCAAGATCCTTCGACACTAATATAATAGTACTTAAAGCTTTAGAGAAGAGGAGATGTGGTATTATAGAATATCATTCACCCGTGAAGTGGCGAGGTAAATTGGAAACCAACACACTGCATCAAGACAATGTCTATGTATTAAGTCATTCATAGTCATTGGGTGGACCAGTCAGTGACCCTTTAAGTATTTATATTAAGCATAGAATAGTTAGTTTTTGGATTAATATGATAAGTGGTAAAACTGGCAAATATTCTTTCAGGCATATGATTTCCCAGCTTTAGTTTCCAAAAATAATGCATTGCCTACTATAATTATAAGAGATAAGAGTGGCTATGAAGATGGTTATCCCGGGTTAGTTTTTGGATTAATATGATAAGTGGTAAAACTGGCAAATATTCTTTCAGACATATGATTTCCCAGCTTTAGTTTCCAAAAATAATGCATTGCCTACTATAATTATAAGAGATAAGAGTGGCTATGAAGACTGGTTATCCCGGGTGTCAGTGACTAGTTTCGTTTGTATTGTGAACTCTTCAGACTGATTGAACTCACATGGCAGGGGTTTCCATGGTTACTAATTGGCGGGGTTACCTAGGTTAGCCTCTTGGCAGCATTTGCGAATTTCGTACCGGGGGTGGGGGGGTGTACAGAGGTTTGACAACTGATCGGTTAGATTGAAGTGCTAGTGTTCATAATATTGCTAACTGTATAGGATGCCTTTGGTTGGCGTGTAACATTGTTAATTGTCATAACAATAAAGGGATTGTAAGGGTGTTGAGATAACCGCTGTGAGAGGATTGATTATAAGGCTAAATATAAATCCAAAGTTGGAACACTCAGGGGTAGAGAGTATAACAAAAATAAAATGGTTGGGGTGCCCAAGTTTAGATTTGTCGTTGATTTCATAAAGTAGTTAGGTTTTTAAACAATAAACACTGTGTAATTCAACATGGCGTCCGAGGGGTTTTATATTTAGGTACGAATTAGTAGCAAATAGTTTATTTATCTGAGAGTCAAGGTTTGGGCTTTGCCTTGGAAATGGGAGGTGACTAGTATGTGTCTCTCTTTTGTGGACCAAGGTTAGATTGTTCGTTGTATTAACCCCAGTAATTCCGCCAATGATAACTTTGGCCTCTAGAGCGTCACAAGATTTTTCAAAGTGATCAAGAGCCATAACTTTGACAGTAATTATCGGAAATCGTTGAAAATCAATAGGATTCTTCATTTAATGACCCCAAACTCTGCGTGTAAATTTAAAGTAAATCGGATATTATCTTTAGCCTCTAGAGCATCCACAAGATATTTTGAAGTGATCAAGGGCCATAACTTTGGCAGTAATAATCGGAAATCGCTGAAAATCAATAGGCTTCTTCGCCTCATGGTCTTAAACACTGTGTATAAATTTAAAGTCAATCGGATATTAACTTTAGCCTCTAGAGCGTTTTTTTTTTTAAGTGATCAAGTGTCAGAACTCTGGCCGTAATTATCAGAAATCGCTGAAAATCAATAGGCTTCTTCGTCTCATGATCTTAAACACTGTGTATAAATTTAAAGTCAATCAAATATTATTAGCCTCTAGAGGACGACGAACGGATGGGGCGACGACAATAGAATGTGGGCATATGAAAAGGTTGCCACGTGAGTCCAATCAGTCTAAAGAGTTCAGTACGAACGAAACTAGTCACTGACACCCAGGATAACCAGGTCTTCATAGCCACTCTTAAGTATCTCTTATATACTAAACAGCAAAAAAAAAACGTCGGTATGATTTCAAAATCAGAGAGGCACTTTAATCAAATCATTCTAGAAAACGACTTACTAAATGGATCAAAGCAATTTTTTGTGAACAGTATGTTGACACATCAGTCATTTATTCATCACAATTCCAAGACATTATGAGAAGGTTTAGAGTCTGTACACAGTCTATACATCAGTATCTGGTGTGTCCACCGCGAGTGTCAATAACAGCTGCGCAGCGTCTGTACATGGGAGTGGATCACATGATTGATAAACGCCATTGGCACCTGGAACCACACTCTCAGAAAAGCCTGGCGCAATCCATCGGCTGTGTTTTGTTATGGTACGACGTTATTAAGTCTCCTCTGAATTTCATCCCAAAGATGTTCAATCGGGTTTAAGTCCGGACTAAGGGCTGGCCATTGTATAACGTTGACACCGTTCTGCTGTAGAAAGTCTCGAGTGACTCTGGCGTTGTGGGCACACGCATTGTCATACTGGAAAACGTTTCGATGAGGTGCGAAATGTGGTATGACGTGGGGTCCGAGAGCTTGATCGATATAGCGCACTGCTGTGATGCCGCCTCCTCTCCCTGGACCAAGATTTTGGAACACCACAGGACCCAATCTCTGGTTCAGGCCGATTCCACCCCAAACCATTATGCTTGGACCTCCCCATGAGTCTCGTTCCATGACACATTGGTCAGAATAACGCTGGCCACGTCGATGCCATATTCTGGTCCTGCCATCTGCAGTTGATATGCAATACCGATTCTCATCTATGAACAGAACAGTTCTCCATTGCCTGTGTCGCCAGTGCTGGTGTTGCTGGGCAAACGGTAGACGTTCACGTCTATGGCGAGGGGTGCGGATCGGTCCACGGTAAGATCTACGGCAATGGATGTTCTCTCTGGTGAGACGTCGGAGCACTATATCGTTACTGATGGGTCTTCCGTGTGTTCCCACTGTCTTAACGTGCTGTCTCAGATGCCTTTGTGAAGGGATTCTGCACGTGCTGTCGCACAACATGGCGGTCTTGTCGCCTTGTGGTAACCCTTGGTCTACCAGTCCAGAGGCGATCATCTGTGGTGTTGGTGGCCCGAAAGCGTTGCTGAAGCCTGTTGATGGTCCGAATATTGACCTGGAAGTGATTGGCAACGGCCTGGGTAGCGTGGCCAGCGGTGCGTCTTCCGAGCGCCTGGTTCCTCTGAGCTGTCGTGTGTCATGGCATGCTGCCGACGTTGTATTGTGAATTATTCAACCAGGTATGGGGGTGCATTTTATAGGGCTGGTCCCAGTGAACAGCACGTGCAGCATGAGTTACATGAAAATCATGGAGAACACATTACCTACCATCTCAGAAGTCAGGTTGCGTTTTTGAGAACATTTCCTGGGTTCAATTCTGTGTTTGGGAAGGAGAATTATTGCTCAGGTAAAGTTGGAGATGTGGTCACAAATCTATATATATATATTTGTGACTGTCGTTTGTCTGTCTGTCTGTCCGGGGTTGGCGGCTACACTGGGTCTGCCCCGAGTCTGAAATTTGGGGTATAGGGGTAGCTTGGACCGGGGAGTAACATAGGCCAGGTGGCGTTAGTCTACCACTTCCGGTTTCGGAGTTATGACCCCCGAGCGAAGCCGGTCTGTTCGGGGTTGGCGGCTACACTAGGTCTTCCTCGAGTCTGAAATTTGGGGTATATGGGTAGCTCGGACCGGGGAGTAACATAGGCCAGGTGGCATTAGTCTACCACTTCCGGTTTCGGAGTTATGACCCCGAGCGAAGTCAGTCTGTTCGGGGTTGGCTGCTACATCTGCCCCGAGTCTGAAATTTGAGGTATAGGGGTAGCTCGGACCGGGGAGTAACATAGGCCAGGTGGCGTTAGTCTACCACTTCCGGTTTTGGAGATATGACCCCCGAGCGAAGCCGGTCTGTTCGGGGTTGGTCTCTACACTAGGTCAGCCCCGAGTCTGAAATTTGGGGTATAGGGGTAGCTCGGACCGGGGAGTAACATAGGCCAGGTGGCGTTAGTCTACCACTTACGGTTTTGGAGTTATGATCCCCGAGTGAAGCCGGTCTGTTCGGGGTTGGTGGCTACACTAGGTCTGCCCCGAGTCTGAAATTTGGGGTATAGGGGTAGCTCGGACCGGGGAGTAACATAGGCCAGGTGGCGTTTGTCTACCACTTCCGGTTTCGGAGTTATGACCCCCGAGCGAAGCCGGGTATCCTGCTAGTATACAATAAAAACATTTGGCAAGTTTTATGCAATGTGTATGTAGTAGTTATTAGCACACTTTCCAAGGTGTATCGAGGGGCCCAGCGGAGGCGGCTCCCGACCAAAACTGTCCTGATATTCACCGATACATCGAGGAAAGGTGCTAATAAGTTACTTACATCACATTTCTATCGAGTATTGTGAAGCAAAATGTGAAAAATAGTATTTATTATCAAGTCGTTTCAACCAAAAAGTGACAAATACTTTCTGCTCTTTCATTATTTATCCCTTTCTGAGCCTCACGTTACATTTCATGGTAGAATGATTTCGCAGTGGAGAGACGACCTGAGTAGTATTTACACGTGCGTCTTGCTATGATACTCTGAGCGTAAAACAATCACGTGTTTGTTTAGACCACATCGTCAAAACAACTTGTCTATGGCATAGAGGACTGCGATATTATTAAATGTAGTGTAAAGGAAATGCGAAACGTGGGTCATTCCTGGTGAAAGTATGCATCGGCGGATGGTTCTTCCGTTGAAATTTATTTGTAATAAAGTTTATGACTTTCTAGGCGTTTTTTTCATCCTGCTTATTTTCAATGCCTGTGAAGTGTCCAGCAAGAGAACTTCTATCATCACAATTAATTAAAATAGTTATTCAATATTCTAATTTATATATTTTGCATATTAATATAAATCAAACCAAATTATGAAATAGATGCCAACTGATATGTATAATATTGATTTTTGTAATATGTTAATTTAATGTCATTGTATATGTTTTTGAACTGCCATGTGGTTCCCCCCATTTTGTTTTGTTACTATGATTTTGACTAGTTGTTTCATGTACATTGTATAGAGCCATCGTTATCAATTGCGATCTGGGTCGGACTAAACGTCCGCTACTTATTGCTTGATAGGTATCTAAAACGGTACTCTTTCTGTACATTTCTGATACACGGATACTTTTATGCATGTATTGCAAATAAACAGGACAGTTTTATCAAAGGTTGCCAGTGGCAACGAGTAGAAGTGGGATGTAAATTATCTCACTCTCTGTTCTTACGATCTCGTTATGTTGAATTACACAGTATTTAACGTTTAAAATCCTAACTACTTTATGGAATCAATGACAAATCTAAACTTGGGCACCCCAATCATTTTTATTTTTGTTAAACTATTATAATTACAAACAAACATATTAAATGTGTTATCAAATGTGTATCACCTGAGGCATTTTCAATTTTAAAGAAAAAATGTTTTCAGCTTAGTATGTAATCTCGAAGAATTAGACAGATTAGGATTGATCAACTTTTTAAATGAACCAGCGGCTGCCAGGCAGGATACGCCTACATTTTGGAAGAGATGGATAGAGAACAACTAAAAACAAACAGGCAATAATCCAGAAAGTTATGGTCTGAAATGCACAAATATCAAAAGGGACTTTGATCTTTGGGATATGTTTTAAGTTTCATCAAAATCAGATAAAAATTGTTACTTCTAGAGGGTCCATAACCTTCATATTACATACTTTTACACAATTTGCGTACAAAGAGCGGGCCTTTTGTCGGGCAGTTTCATTTCGATTTTCCCGAAATTCGAATTCAACCTTCATTATGGTGGAATGGCAATATATTTAAACGTTTTTTAAAATCTGAAAAAAAATTGTGACCTCTGGAGAATCTGCAAGCTAAATATACGAACAATCAGGGGCATTAATCCAGGAAGTTACATTCGGTTATGCGAGATTATCAAAAGGAACCAAGATCTTAGTGTGATATAATCATACAGATTTTTTTTTAAATCAGATAAAAATTGTGACCTTCACAGGGACAAGCTAAAAACATGATTTTTATACGCCCACATTTTCATGTGGACGTATATTGCCGTCGCCCCTGTCCGTCCACAATTGTTTGTGGACACTCTACAGGTCACAATTCTTATCCGATTTTGACGAAACTGGAAATATAGGTTTATCTCCAAAAGATCTTGGTTGCTTTCGATATTGGCATGTATCGCACCGAAACTTCATGGATTATGGCCCATTCTTATAAGAAAAAAATTTTTTGGGCCTTCCATCATTCTCCAATAGCGTAAAAATATGGTATATCAAGGTTGTGGACACCCAATAGAGGTCACAATTTTTATCCGATTTTGTTAAAACTTGAAATGTAAGTTTATAACCCCAAGATCTTGGTTCCTTTCGATATTTGCATATATTGGATCGTAATTAACTTCCTAAATTATGGCCCCTGATTGTACGAAAAAATCGCGTTTTTAGCATGTGGACCCTATAGAGGTCATAATTTTTATCCGATTTAAAAAAAAACGTTTTAGTATTTCACCGTTACTACCTAAGGCAAAATGGCCGTCCCTCATTCTCAAATAGCGTAAAAATATTGTATATCGAGGTTGTGGACACCCTATAGAGGTCACAATTTTCTTCTGATTTTAATGAAACTTGAAATGTAAGTTTAAAACCCAAAGATCTCGGTTCCTTTCAATATTCGCGCATATCGGACTGCAAGTTCCTGAATTATGGCCCCTGATTGTACGAAAAATCACATTTTTAGCTTGTGGACCCTATAGGGGTCATAATTTGAAGCGATTTAAAAAAAACGTTTGAATAGATCACCGTTACACCCTAAGGATGGTTGAGTTCGAATTTTGTAAAAATCGGACCAAAACTGTGAGATAAAATGGTCGCCTCTCATACTCAAATAGCGTAAAAATATGATATATCAAGGTTTTCGACTCTCTAGAGGTCACAATTTTCTTCTGATTTTGATGAAACTTGAAATATAAGTTTATAACCCAAAGATCTCAGTTCCTTTCGATATTCGCTCATATCGGATTGTAACTTCCTGAATTATGGCCCCTGATTGTACGAAAAATCGAGTTTTTAGCTCGAGGTACCTCTAGAGGTCACAATTATTATCCGATTTAAAGAAAAACCTTTGAATATATCACCTTTACCCCCTAAGAATGGTAGAGTTCGAATTTCGTGAAAATCGGACCAAAACTGACAGACAAAATGACGTAAAAATATATATCAAGGTTGTGGACTCTCTAGAGGTGAAAATTTTCTTCTGATTTTGATGAAACTTGAAATGTAAGTTTATAACCCAAAGATCTTGGTTCCTTTCGATATTTGCGCATCGGAAAATTGTGACCTCTATAGAGTGTCCAAAAGTTAAAAACGTGATTTTTCGTACAATCAGGGGTCATAATCCATGAAGTTATGTTCCGATACATGCCAATAGAAAGGAACCGAGATTTTTTTTTTTTGGGGGGGGGGGGTAGACCTGTATTTTAAATTGGATAATAATTGTGTATGGTGGCTGATTGGTATCATGTCGTGATGTCGTGGTGTCGCCCTTCATAAGGCGACATCACAACATAACCTGACAACACGACATTTTCACCCGACACCACAACATTAATAATGTTGTAATGTCGCGTAAAAATATTGTATTGTCGCGTAAAAATGTAGTGATGTCGGCTTTATTTATCAATGTTGAAGCGGCCATGAATAATAGAGTGCTGTCCTTTGTCGAGATCAGGGGGGTTGGATGGCCGAATGGTTAGCACGCGCGCTGTATCATACAGTCTGTCATTGAGTCAACTGGAGGGGTTTCGATTCCCTGGTTGTACGTGACAAGGAGTAGGGTCGCCTGTCCAACCTCAGGGGTTTTTCTCCGGGTCCTCCGGTTTCATCCCACTGCTAAAGACCCCTACGCACAAGCGAATTATTGAAATAAAATTGAACCGTGTGTTAGTCCCGAAATGACCTAGTTTGTGTCGAGTGGATGTTAAACCCCATTTCTCTCTCTCTCTTGTCGAGATCAAGTCAGCCCTCACTATCTCATCCTTCACTAAGAATACTTAACCTTCACTAACTGCGAATCAACCTGGCCCTCACTACCACATTCGCTGGATGACCATGACTTGAGTGTAATCATTTGCTCGGTATGGGCTAATTCGAGCCTTCGATAAATAAAATGAATTGAAAGTAGTCTATTTTTAGTAACCCATTTCTTTGCTCAAAATAAAAATGCTTTTATCTCTTCTAAAGTATGGAATTATGAATGTGCCAGACAATACAAGTAGATTTAAAGAGCCACAGAAACCCACTTTCCGGTGATGTATGACACAATAACTGGAATTTCGTATAACACATATTTTGACATTAAACACTCGCCCACCCCCACCACTCTCTTTAATTCAGCCAGTGAAGGCTACCAAACTTGTATCAATTTAAATTTTAAAAAGTATATATGCATTCTGCCGAAAATATGATAAATACATTTCAAGAGAGGATTAACTTTACTTTTCAGTATAGATATATGGAATTTTGGATTAAGCCCAGCATTTTTATTTCAAATACCCCCCCCCCCCCTTTTCATTTTTCAAGGCAAGTAAATAGAAATGTGCCAGAAAATTAATTATATATTTGAACGTGTTTTCTACTGATATGTAGCATGATATCTAGAATTTCGTATTAGAACCCGTAATTAGACATTGAATACCTCCACCCCCCGCGTAATTACTTAATAGAGATCAGTATTATCCAACTTTGATAGTTTGTCAAGGTAAGTAAATATAAATGTGACAGAAAATTATTTATATCTTTGAAAAGAGAAATGAAAGTGCTTTTCAGTGATATATAACATAATATCTGGAATTGCGTATTAAGACCCGTATTTTTACTTTGAATACCCCTATCCCCATCATTTAATAGAGTTTTGTACCATTCGTCTTTATCACCTCTCAGGGCAAGTAAATATAGATGTGCCAGAAAATTATTTATATATCTGAAAAGAACGGTGAACGTGCTTTCTACTGATATGTAGCATGATATCTGGAATTTTGTATTAAGACCTGTAATTTGATATAGTGAGGGCCAGCTTGATTCGCAGTTAGTAAAGGGTAAGTATTCTTAGTGAAGGATGAGATAGTGAGGGCTGACTTGATCTCGTGACCGCTTCAACATTGATAAATAAAGTCGACATCACGACATTTTTACGCGACAATCCGACATTTTTACGCGACACCACAACAACATTCTTAATGTCGTGGTGTCGGGTGAAAATGTCGTAGTATCGGGTTAAAAATGTCGGGTTGTCGTGGTGTCGGGTTATAATGTCGCGATGTCGGGTTGTCGCCTTATGAAGCTCGACACCACGACATGATACCAATCAGCCACCATAGAGCAATCAGTGAAGCGTGTGTAGAGAATAAGGCCGGATGGGTACAGGTGGCTGACAAGAAACAAACTGGAAGTGAGATCGGCTAACCTTTCCAGGTCATAAGCCTCCATGTCTGCCATATTTATTTCACAAATTGGAAACAAGTATGGCGGCTTGGGGGTGTTAACTTTTTTTTTATTTAATTATTTCGGTATTTTTGTAACCGGAGTTTAGCTTTAAACACTGTGTATAACTTTAGCAATCGGATATTAACTTTGCCCCCTAAAGCATCCACAAGATTTTTCAAAGTGATCAAGGGCCATAACTCTAGCAGTAATTATCGGACATCGTTGAAATCAATAGGCTTGAATTGGCCATTTTTAGAGACACTCTCAATTACATGTTTCAATCATGAAAAGATAATGTTTAATTTTTTCGTAATATTTGACAATACAAAATATTAAGCCAATAAATATTATATCATTACCCAGACATAGAATTTGATGCCATATTCAAAATGAGTTCACTCACTTGATCTGTATAACATATACAGGTAAAGTTTACCTGGTAAAAACAAATTGACAGATTTCGAAAATATCTCGCGTCTCAATAGGCCAACAAAGTGAAAATATCTCTTTAAAGTATTACACCTAATTAAGATGGATCAGAAATCATTAAAATGTCCATCTCTTCTAGTGGTAAATGTATTCGCAGTTCCTTCTCTGTCATCAAATCAACTATTTCTTGTAATATAGAATCACCAAAATAACCCACAGCATCTGTATATAGTACCTACAAAACATTAAACATGTTAACTTAAATTATTTCTCATTGTAATTCCAAACTTATTTTGTTAAATATGGTGTGAAATATTATTGCCCATTCCATATTCAGCATTCCTTGAACACTGTGAACATGATAGAGGCTACAAATTTGAACAGGCTGTTTTCAAATTTCATTGGAACCATTGGGGTCATGAGAGAACGAATCAATATTCAGCATCATACGACCTTTTGTTCTAGAGCTTAAGATTTAAAAACATGGACAAAAAAAAGAAAGAATAATAATAACTAGACTTGCATGGCAGTCTTGAACCGACGTTCAGGAAACAGACCGGAAGAAATAACAGAGTACATTCACCGGGCTATCCAACAATACTTTAGCCGTTTTGATCCAGATAAAGCCGACGAAAAAATCGCGTTTTTCGAAAAAAAAATCATTTTTTCAAAATATCAGATATTTGTCCGACTAGTTCCGGTTTACGCATCATTATTGGGATAGTTTTAATAAATGGTTTGGGCACTTAACATCCTGTACCAGAAGTTTCAGAAACATCCATTTAGCAGTTTTGAAAAAAATGAAAAATAAAAGAGCATTTCAGTAATTTAATGATTTATCAACTTTTTTCAAAGATTGAGGTCCTTTTTAAACCATTTATACCATTTCAAGGCTTTTGAGATAAAAGCGTCTCAAAAGGTTCCAAATTGGAAAATACAAGATTTTCGGCGTACCATAATTTATTTCCTAACCGTCGAATCGGTATCATTTGGATACCATATGATGGTCCATCCATGGGACTACCAAACGACACTTTAGTTGATTTGATCTTCTGACATCTGACAGAGAAATCAAGTTTTTTGCAAGAGCGCGAACTTGGACTACTTCCGATATACGAATTATTGTCGGGATAGTTTTAAAAACCTGTTTGGGCACTTGAATGGTAGCAGGTCTCTATAATGATATACTACATTATGTGATCAGATGAAATCACCCTGAGGAATCACATGTTAAAAATTGCCAAAAATGCAATACATATTATACATAATTAGAATCGCCATTACATCAGCCATCTAAATATATTTACCTTTTTGATAATCTATAAACATAAAAAAATTGGATGTCTTCGTGCACAAGACTACCAAAGGCACTCTAATAGAAAAAGTTTAAGAGAAATCGCTGTAGTTCAAAAGTGACATAAATGCAGCAATGTCAAAATATCGAAAATTAAATTTCAGTAACTCAATGCATAATATACATTAGTAGAATCGTCTTTAAATCAGTTATCTAAATATATAGACCTTTTTTGCAAATCAGTAAAAACAAGCCAACAGTGAGGCTGATGTCCCCCGCCGAAATCCCCAAATAAATAGATGACACATATTAATTAATCGCACATCTTTTTTTTTCAAAAGTATCAAGCAATCAAACTGATTATAAACTATACACCAAGTTTCATCACTCTCTATCAGATAGAATCAAAGTTATCTTGTCCCAAACCATCAAGTTTAAACATTTACCTCAATTAGAGGAAGACATTATCCAAAGTCTTGACCAATCAAAATGCTTATTGCTCCTTAGCCTAAGCAGAAAATTCTCATCATCGAATTTAGTCAAGGTATTGATGTAATGAAACTATACACCAAGTTTCATCACTCTCACCTAATTAGAACTAAAGTTATCGTGTCCTAAAGCATCAACCAATCAAATTGCTTATCTCTGCTTACCCTAAGCAGAAAATGCTCATCTTCACACTCCATCAAGGCATTGACCTAATAAACACCTACACCAAGTTTGAACATTCTAGCTCAACTAGAAGGAGAGTTATTGTGTTCCAAAGTCTCGGCCAATCAAATTGCTTATCGCTCTGCTTACCCCGAGCAGAAAATGCTTATTATCGAACTTCGTCAAGGTATTGATGTAATGAAACTATACACCAAGTTTCATCACTCTCACGTAATTAGAACTAAAGTTATCGTGTCCCAAAGCATCAACCAATCAAATTGCTTATCTCTGCTTACCCTAAGCCGAAAGTGTCATCTTCGAACTCCATCAAGGCATTGGCCTAATAAACACCTACATGTACACCAAGTTTGAACATTCTAGCTCTATTAGAAGGACAGTGTGACAGACAGACAAGACCCATTTTAATAGTCCCCTTTTCGAAAGGCAGGGGACAATAAAAAAATAATATAGCATTTTCCCAAATTTAACGATTTTTTGACTTTTTTCGATTTTCAGTGCCTTTTTTGTCCTATTCCAAAGTCTGATGTGTTGTCTTCCTGTACAAGACTACCAAAAGGACATTCGATAGAGAAAAATTAAGAAAAAAGCTGAAAATGCGATTTTCCTACAATCAAGGGCCATAATTCAGGATATGCGTGAATATCGAAAGAAACCGAGATCTTTGGGTTATAAACTTACATTTCAAGTTTCAACAAAATCGGATAAAATTGTGACCTCTATAGGGTCCACAACCTTGATATACCATATTTTTACGCTATTTGAAAATGAAGGGCGGCCATTTTGTCTGTCAGTTTTGGGACGATTTTCACGAAATTCGAACTCAGCCATCCTTAGGGTGTAACGGTGATATAACAATACGTTTATTTAAATCGGATAAAAATTATGACCTCTATAGGGTCCACAAGCTAAAAACACGATTTTTCGTACAATCAGGGGCCATAATTCAGAAAGTTATGGTCCGATATACACGAATATTGAAAGGAACCAAGATCTTTGGGTTATAAACTTACATTTCAAGTTTCAACAAAATCGGATAAAAATTGTGACCTCTATAGGGTCCACAAGCTAAAAAATGTGATTTTTCGTACAAACAGGTGCCATCATCCATGAAGTTTCGATCCGATACATGCCAATATCGAAAGCAACCAAGATCTTTTGGAGATAAACCTATATTTCAAGTTTCGTCATTGGATAAGAATTGTGACCTGTAGAGTGTCCACAAACAATTGTGAACGGACGGACGGACAGAGGCGACGACAATATAAGCCCACATGAAAATGTGGAAGCCCACATGAAAATGTGGGCGTATAAAAATTGTGACCTCTATTGGGTCCACAAGCTAAAAACGTGATTTTTCGTACAATCAGGGGCCATAATCCATGAAGTTACGGTCCGATACATGCCAATATTGAACAGAATCGAGATCTTAGGGAGATAAACTTATATTTCAAGTTTAGTTGAAATCGGATAAAACTTGTGATCTGTCCACAAACATGAAAATGTGGGCAGATAAAAAATTCAATAAAGAATCCAAGTTGCCAAAACAAGGTCCCATGCACGAAAAAATCTGCTAACAGATATCCAAATTATTTTCTGAATTTAGGATTTCATTTTGTTGTGGATTCAGCAATTGTAACTGGCATATATAACTGCTGACCGACTTATCTGCCAATGAAATTGCTGCAATTTCCAGAATGGTGTCCTTTACAGAAACGACATAATGACGTAGTTTGTGTACAAAGGACGTTAAACCCAATTTTTAGTCCCCCGCCTTTCCCAGAAAGCCTTTCTGTCTGTCTGTCACAATAACTGTCCTTCTAATTGAGCTAGAATGTTCAAACTTGTTGTAGGTGTTTATTAGGTCAATGCCTTGACGGAGTTGAAGATGAGCATTTTCTGCTTAGGGTAAGCAGAGATAAGCAATTTGATTGGTTGATGCTTTGGGACATGATAACTATAGTTCTAATTGAGTGATGAAACTTGGTGTGTAGTTTCATTACATCAATACCTTGACTAAGTTCGATAATGAGCATTTATTGCTTAGGGTAAGCAGAGCGATAAGCCATTTGATTGGTCGAGACTTTGGAACACAATAACTCTCCTTATAATTCGGGTAGAATGTTCAAACGGAGTTGAAGTTGAGCATTTTCTGCTTAGGGTAAGCAGAGATAAGCAATTTGATTGGTTGATGCTTTGGGACACGATAACTTTAGTTCACCTTATAAACACCTACATCTAGTTTCAACATTCTAGCTCAATTAGAAGGAGAGTTATTGTGTTCCAAAAAGTGTGACGGACAGACAGATGGGCTGACAGACGGACAAACAGATCGATTTTAACAAAAATAATCATAAGGTAGAATTGACTTCGGCATACCTTGGTTGAAGGGCATAGCTGAAGTGACTTGTAAAATAATCCTTTAGCTCTATCCAATTTTCCCATTTTCACCTTTTGATTGAAATAAGATAATAAGATATAATTAACCATACAATAAGCAAGAGCTAAATCTGCCAACTGCAGGTATTTCTTAAGGCCTGAAATGTTATCTAAATTATCAATTAGACATTAATTAACTTATCCAGACGATAATCAACTCTCGACGTTCACAGCAGCTAAATTGTCCGAGCGGATCGACAAGGGTTATCGCATATTTATTCCTTTGTAGGTAATTGGGGGCCTTTACAAGACAGTTCCATACAGATCAGATAATTTTTTTGTGTTTGAGGGTTCACAAGGTTCTACAAACTGAATCAAGGGCCTCAACTCAGGAAGTAGTCTACAGAAATTATAGAAATTTGACAGGCTTTTTCGTTTCACTAATTTAAATAATGCATATAAATTTCATACAAGGTTTACAAGGTAAAACAAAGGCCATAACTCTAGAAATTATTGACGGAAATTGCTGAAATTCAATAGACCTTTGTTTCACAAATTTAAATGATGCATATAAATTTCATACATATTGGATGATAACTTTTATCAATGGAGCATTAACAAGGTTGAACAAAGTGAAACAAGGGCAAAAGTCTAGAAGTGATTATTGTAAATTGCTGAACATTCAATAGGCTTTGTGGTTTCACTAATCTAAATAATGCATATAAATTTCACAAAGATTGGAAGATAACTTTTGGCGTAATAGCGTTCACGAGGTTCAACAAAGTGAAACAAGGGCCATAACTCAGACGTAATGCACAGAAATTATTGAAATTAATAGGCTTCTTAATCTCACTAATGTAAACCGCTTCTTAATCTTAATAATGTAAACCACATATCAATTTCAAAACAATCGGATAATAATTACTTTTGGAGTGAGAGCGTTCACAAGAAATTGTGGACGACGAACGGATGGACAGGGGCAACGGCAATATACGTCCACATTTCCATGTGGGCGTATAAAAATGGATAATCGAGACTTCGTTTTTTCTTGTCTGCGATATCACCTCGGTGGAAGCGGACGTAAAATACAACTAACTAACAACAACAACTTCGTTTTTTATCGTACTGTCTTTAGTAATGATGATGGAGGCTAGGCCCAAAATTCAATCGCTATATTCTCGGTTCAAAGTGGATCAATTTGACTGAAATTTTCAGTAAATTCCCTTTACATTATTTAGTTTTTAACTTTTATAGTGAGAACTGTCAGCTCTTTATCCAATCCCTGATAGTTACAGTAGAAAGAAATTTCACACATAAAGAACAAAATAACGACAAAAAGTGTTCACATACACAATAAATGATATGAGGCATCACACAATCTACACAGTTTGAGCCCCCCCCCCCCCCGTCAAAAATTTTTTTAAAAAAAAATAAATTAGCTGTAATCGGGGCACAACCCCCAGATCCATGACCATTTCCTGAGGAACAAGGCTTGACAATGGTTTCTGATAGAAGGGACACTATAGCTAACATTAGGAGAGCAGAAAATCCAAGATGGCAGCCCAAAATGGTCTGAAATAGAGTTTGACAAACATTGTTGACGAAATGACCCAGGTAATGTCATTTTATAGGTTTTGCTGGTCACAGGACTCATTTTTGATCCTTTCCAATTCATCCCACAAACGGTTGATCCAATATGGAGGCTAAAATCCAAAATCCAATATGCAGCGAAAATATTCTTTCAATAACAATATTCACAAGTGATATTTCGTTTCAGGGGTTTTGGGGGGGACGTGGAACACAAATATGCCATTGCCTAGCTCATGGGACTAATGGGAATTGAGCATTTTCAATACTATGCAGACCTACACATGTAATGCTAACTACCATAAGTTGTTCCAGCCATCCATGTATCTTATCCTTCATTTATTACAGCCATCATAATACATTATAATGCATTCAAATTGAGAAGTATTGTTATTTTGGGAGTTATCAACTGAGATATAGGGCATCAGGTGTGTATCATACAGATAAACACTTCCCACTATCCAGCCCTGCCCAAGAGGCGATATTGGATTCTGGAGTATAATGTAGGATTGATAGTTACGAGAGGGCTGGCTGAAAAGTTCTAAGCCTGAAAAGGATAGATCAATTGGGTTGAAACAAGCTTTTGCCAACAACAATAAAAGTTACCTGAAAAGAAAAGAAGAGCCAGCAGCAACACAGAACAGAACAATTAAAACAAATTAAAACATTAATAGGAATATAATACATGGCATCAAATTTTTAAACACAAATTATATAGATTTAAATGCACTGTCATTGTTAATAATGATTGTGTAGGTCCCTAATTCCTTTTGTCATTAAAAACTATGCGACGGTGCCTTTTCTGTAGAGGTGTGTTAATTAACCGATCGGTAAAAAATGAATGTCAATGGTGTGTATTGTTTAATTGCCGTGTTTTCAAATCAAAATCCGGAAAATAAAACTGTTTTACCGTGCGATTTATCATCTGAACGCATGTTTTATGCAGGTCTTTAAATATGGATATGTGCTCACTATATGATTGACGTTTCTCTCATGTGTCTTTTGTATTTGTATAAGACATGTACGTGTTTTATACTGCCACGCTACTTATAAATAAATTTGCATTGAATGAAATAACCAACAGCTGCCAGGTAGGATACGCCCACATTTTGCAAAAGATGGCTAGAGAGAGAGAGAGATGTGGTTTAACGTCCACTCGACACAAACTAGGTCATTTCGGAACTAACATGGTTCAATTTTATTTCAATAATTCGCTTGCGCGTAGAGGTCTTTAGCAGTGGGGGGGGGGGGGAAACCGGAGGACCCGGAGAAAACCCACAAGGTTGGACAGGCAGCCCTACTCCTTGTCACGTACAACCGGGGAATCGAAACCGCTCCAGTTGACTCAATGACAGACCGTGGGTTATAAACACGTATTTCAAGTTTCATCAAAATCGGATCAAAATTGTCCACAACCTTGATATACCATATTTTTACACTGTTTGCATACAAGGGGCGACCATTTTGTCCGGCAGTTTTGGTCCGATTTTCACGAAAATTTGAACTCAACCGTCATTCAGGTGTAACGGTGATATATTTAAACAGCTTTTTTAAATCGGAATAAAATTGTGACCTCCATAGGGTCTACAAGCTAAAAAACAGATTTTCGTACAGTAAGGGGCCATAATTCAGGAAGTTATGGTTGGATATGCGCAAATATGAAACGGTACCAAGATCTTTGGGTTATAAACTTACATTGCAAATTTCAACAAAATCGGATAAAAATTGTGACCTCTATAGGGTCCACAAGCTAAAAACGCGATTTTTCGTACAATCGAGGGCCATAATCCGTGAAGTTACTGTCCGATACATACCAATATCGAAAGGAACCAAGATCTTAGTGAGATAAACCTACTTATCAAGTTTCGTTGAAATCGGATAAAAATTGTGACCTGTAGACTGTTCACAAACAATTGTGGACGGACAGGGGCGACGTCAATATACGTCCACATGAAAATGTGGGCGTATAAAAAATGATTAGAAATATAGACGGTGTTATTGATGAACTATTTAAATGTTCACATCACGTCCCAAGTAATTATATCCTTTAGTTTAAACGGGAGCAGGTCTTTTCATCCCAACCATCATTCAGTAATCATAAGTTTATGGAACTTTAAAATCTTCGCTGAATCCACGGGACAGATACAATACCGAGCTGCCTTTTATTTTTATTTTTCATTTCGGCGTCAACGGCTCGGCCTTCAATGCATACGATCAATAAAAGGTCAATATGTGAACTTACGCGTTCCATCAAACGAAAACAATGTCTAAAATGAGATCACTTTCAATAACCATTTGTCACCTTGTAGTCTTGTATAGACAATCGGATTATATTGTATATATTTCATCTTTTATTAAGCAATTTAAATGACTTTTATTTACCGAAGTTTATGTCAAATTACGCAACTATCAAACAGTTGACCACAATATCAGTGAACAATTGACTAAGCTGTCAGTCAGTGTTAATTTGAATAGTGATATACAAATAGTTGATGTATTTTGGCACCATATATAATCGTTAATTTATTTTCGCTACTCAAAATCGGTGCATAGAATTACCCAATAACACCCAATAACTGCACAATAACACCCCATCACTCCAAAATGTTGACGTTGGAAACATAAATAACAATTTAGTTAAATTTAAGGAGCCTCGCTGCTTTGTGCCCAAATCGGAGTTTCACGCTCACTCGCCTGAAGGGAGATAACTCGTTTATGTGATTTATGTTGTCAAGAAATTAATGTAAATGAAATAAAATGGGGTTTAACGTCCTACTGTTCTGCTCCTAACCTGGGCTAATGAAAAACGGGCCCTCAGTTCTGCACCACTGACAAGGGGGAAACCACGTCGGAAAAAAGAAATTAGTGTATGCTTTCGTTGCAATGTATTGTAATTATATGCATGAAACAATAGATACATGTAATTACAATTAAATATGGACAAATTAATTTTAATTTGTGTTTTTAATTTCATAAATTAACTGGAAATATCCAGTTAAAAGTTTGGCTCCTGGGTAGGAAGTCAGTACCTGGACTAAGTTCGATGATCATTTTCTGATTAGACCAAGAAGAGACGTCATTCTGATTTGTCGAAACTTTGGACCTTCTAGCTTTTTTTTTTTACTTAGTTATGATACATACATGAATATTCAGTTGATAATATTGTAAAATACGATGTGGCGTGAATACAATAATTAATATAAAGATAATAAAAATCCCACGTTAAATATATTTATTACAGACTGCTCGATGTGGTTATAATGAACTTCAATCTGTAGCAACACGCAAATCAGCATTTTTTCCAAATAACCGTCTTCAAATTTACCCGACCATAACCAACCCAGAAATATTTAAGAAAACTAATAAAGTTGCCATGAATATCGTTAAATATTTCACAACAGAAGCAAAGATACCAGTCCAAACAACTCCGGATAGTAATTGTTTATTCAACTCCTTATGGCTATGGCTTGTATTGAAACGGTGAC